TCTGTTTGACTACAGGGTGAAAAAAATAAAGTGGTGAAGAAGGGAATCTTGCCATTTGCTTCTTTGGCTTAAGGGCAAAATGGATCTAAGTTAATACTTGATACTTCTAGCTCAAATCATCAGTAGATTAGCAATATTTTAGTCAACATGGTAATTTCAATGAATAGAAACCACTATTTCCTGTCATCTGTATTTACTATATGTAACTTAAGTTTCATTATCTTACCTATGAATCTGTTTAAAGTATTACACCACTTAGAAAGCTGGATGGATGTTTAAAAAGGAATACAGTTGATATTTGAACAACATGAGTTTGAACTGTGTGGGTTCCCTAACAAAGATTTTTCTCAATAAATATAATACAGCACTGTCAAGGGATTATTGTCTCTTCCTTATGATTTTCTTATTAACATTTTCTCTAGTTTACTTTATTGTAAGATATAGTATATAATACATGTAACATACAAAATATGTGTTAATCAACTGTTTATGTTATCAGTAAGCCTTCCAGTAAACCGTAGGCTACTAGCAGTTACGTTTTTGAGGTGGCCAAAGTTATATACAGATTTTCAACTGCACAGCTGGTGGGACCCCGAGTTCCTACATTGGTAAAGAGTCAACTGTAGTCCATAATTTGAATCTGCTATGTTTGTGGCATATTTCCATCATTCGGGCTTATCTTGTTTACTTCTGGTGCTATTATGTAAATACTGTCAGCTACATAGGAGATTTTCTTTTAGTATTTCAGAATGGGGGCATTTTCATAGAATGCTAAAAATGGAATCAATCGTTGTATGGCTATTTACTTTTAGAGTTATACATAACATGGGAATAACTCATTTCATTTACTTATTGATATACTTGATTTCATTCTATTTAATTCTACATAGAACCATAACCACATTTCTTTCCTCCCCTATGTAGCAAAACTCCTTGGGCTGTCTACACTTGATAGCATTGCCTGAGATTTCTCTTCTTGTTCTCTCTCTTCTTAAACTCTTTGTTATAAAATACCTTCAAATTTACAGAAAATTTTCAAGGATAGGATAACATTCATATACTCTTTACCCAGATGCACCAATTGTTTTTTTGGCCTATTTGTCTTTGCTGTATATTTTTTCATAACCACTTGAGAACTGATTGCACACATCATGCCTCTTTATCCTTAAATATTTCAGCATGTCTTTTCTTAGGAAAAAGGCATTCTTTTGCATAACCACAGTTCAGTTATCAAATTCAAGAAATTTATAGATAGAATATGACTAAATCATATATACATCCATGTCCAAACTTTACAAATTATCCTAATAAAGTCATTTTTGGAAAAATTTTCTGATCCAGGATCCCATTCAGAGTCATGCAAATGCATTTAGAGCTCAATATCTGGTATCCATTTACCATAAAACAATGCCAGAGGCCATCTTTGACTTTCACAACATCAACATTTGTTAAGAGCACAAACTGATTATTTTATAGAGAGTCTTTCAACTTAGCTTTTTCTGATGTTTCTTCTTTCTGGGGGTTGGCTGTGCATTTGGAGTAGGAACACAGCACTGGCAACATCGCATCCTCAGTGTGTTACACCAGGAGGCATGTAATGTCACCTTCTTCCATTATTGGTGGTGTGAACTTTGACTGTTTCATGAAGATGGTGCCCCCTTACATTTGTTTGCTAAAAAGCTATGCATATTTTTCTTTCCAATTAGTAAATCTCTAAGGAGATACTTTGATACTATAAATTATCCTGTTGCCTTTTAAACTTTCAATGAATAATTTTAGTGTCCATTGATGATTTTGGCCTGAAGCAATTATGACCATAAAAGTTGCAAAACGGTAATTTTATGACCTTATTGGTTCACACTCTCCTCAAGAAAGAGCTTTCTCTTCTTATTTATTTACTTACTTAGTTGCTTATCCATCAGTATGGACTCATGGATTCTTCTTTCAGTCAGTGGTTTACAACCTACTCTTCCATTATTTATGCTGATGCTCAAAGTTTCCGCTATTTGCTCAGAGGGACCCCTTTCAGGTCATCTCCTCTGTCACGTTTAAATGATCTGATCATTTATTGACCTCTCCCTATTTGTCTGTCATTATAAAAAATTACAGTCCTTCTTATACTTTGCTGCCTTGGTCCTAGATTTGACCATTTCATCAAAGTGATCTGGCTCCTTTTAGTGAGAAATAGTCTTTTAAAAACAAAATCTGGACGCTAGATGTGTGACTAGGGTGTTGTTGTTTCTGGGTTGGATAAAGTGTGCTCTATTAAAAGCATAATTCAGTTAATTTTGACAAAATGGACACCCATGGTCCATTTTCAGTCTTCATTGTACTTGATCTATTAGCAGCATTTGATACTGAGGACCACATCTTCCTCCTTGCAATATTGTCTTCACTAGGCTTCTAGGAAAGGATGGAATTTTTTCCCCATACCCACTGGATACTCCTCCTTAGTCTCCTTTGATTTTTCTCTGCTCTTCTCTAAATCCTTTTAAAGTTGAAATATTGCAGAACTCAGACTCTGATGCTTTTCTCATCTACATACATGCTCACTCGCTAGGTAATCTCATCTGACAACTCCCAGATTTGTATCTCTAACCCAGTCTTCTCCCCTAACCTCTGGGTTTTATAGTTACTCATTTCTACCTGATGTCTCCACCTGCCTTTCCAGTAGACATCCAAATTCAGCACGTGCAAAACTGGCATCTCCCACACACCCACTCCCCCTGCAGCTTTCCCATCTCAGGTGATAGCAGCTCCATTCTCCCAGTTAATTCAGGGGAAAAACTTGGAAGCACCCAAAATATACTCTGGATCCTTCCCTCGCTCCACTTCTGGTCCTTCCACTAGTACCCCTATGATCTCAGCAGCCATCATCTCTTTCTGGATCATTCCAATGGCCTCATAACAGGTCTCACTACACCAAAGCTTTCTCTTACAATCTGCTCCCAACACAGCATGACTCTTTTGAAATGTAAGTGTGATCATATCCCTCTTCACCCAGAACTTTGCAATGGCTCCTCATCTCACTCAGGGTAGAGCCCAATTGGTTGCAATGGCCTAGAGGACCCTGTGTAATACTCATGCCCGCCTTTGCTCTGAGACCTCAACTATTACCGCCCCCCCCCTTCCTCTCTATCCCATCCATGTGGAATTCCTGCTGCTCCTCCCACATGCCAGCATGCCAGCCATACTCTCATTCTAGGGGCATTCAGGCTGGTCCCCCTGTACGGAAAGTATTTTCCTAGATATCTGCTTGGCCAGCTTCCTCGTCTCCTTCAATTGATTAAATTGTACCCTCTAATAAAGCCAACCTTGACTATCTAAACACAGAACTTCTGGTCCCTCATTTTCTGTTTTTCTTTCTTTTCCCCATTGCACTTAATACCTTCTAACACATTTTCGTGAATTACTTTTTCTGTGTTTATTGCATGTTTCTTTGGGCTGGAACGTAAACTTCATGAGTACAGGGATCTTTGTTTCGCTTCCTGTAGGACCTAGAACCAAAGGATCTCACTGTGCATCTATTTTTTAAGTAAACGATGACCCACTTCATCCTGTACTTTGACTTGATAAACTGATAGAAATGAATGAGGACCCACTAGTAGAATTGAGTCCATGTATAGCATTTTTCATTTTTGTGTGTGCCTAACACCCGAATTCAATTATATTCCTCTTCTCTCTACTGGTGCATGTTTGCCTCTTTCCATACTTGAAATCTAGCTCCATTCTAAAAATAGAAAGAATTTCATGGCACCCAGGTGGCTCAGTCAGTTGAACATCCAACTCTGGCTCAGGTCATGATCTCCTGGTTCCTGAGTTCAAGCCCCACATCATGCTCACTGCTGTCAACCTGTCAGCACAGAGCCCACTTCAGATCCTTTGTCTCCATCTCTCTGCCCCTCCTCAGATTGCACTCTCCCCAAAATAAATATTTTTTTAAAAAATAGAAAGAATTTCAGCCAGCGAGCATTTCCAGAGAACAGCAGGTTTTGCCTGCCCTGAATTAAGCCTTAGCATGTATCATAAAACCTAAGAAACAAACTGATTTTGCTAGGTCCCTCCCATTGGGGAAGGCCACATTGCCCACTGTTTCCTCTGTTTCTCTATCCATTGTGATTCTGAGTTCCCTAAGGGAGATGGGGAAGATGGGAGGAAGCATCAAAGAATCCAAAATTTCTTTATAGATGAACTTCACAATTTTCTACTAGAGTGTTCAGTTGACTCCAGATTCAAAACGGGCAGCAGATGTCACTTATGTGACCCTGGAGTGATTCATAGAATTTCAGCTGAGATAAGACATACCTTGACAGGCATTCAGATAATGTGCTTGGGGTATTTCTGTACAGTCACCACGATGTCAACAGTCAGGTTTTGAAAGGCACATGTCACATGAGTATTAAAATATCTCTACTGACAGGATCAGACTTTCATGGCCACCAGTAAAAGAGAATATACTCCATTAGAAAGTAGACACCCTCTCTGCTCGATTTTCCTCGTCAGGGAAATCTAGGTCCTCTTTGAACTGGGAGTATTGATTCCTTTGGCACTGATGTTCCTGGGACATAGGAAACATTTTCCTTATGTCTAAATTATGTCTATTTAATTCACAAGGTGTAGGATTAGAACCTGGCCTAAATTTTGGAGCCTTGGTTTTAATATCACAGAAAGAAGCATAACCATTCCTTTCAAATCCATGCAAAAGTATGCAGATTTCACTTACTAGTGTCATTAATAAGAAAATGAAGTTTTTAATTTATATATTTCATGTCTTCCAAAATTACATTCAGAAATATCTTGGTATTTTAATGAATGTAAAATATAAGAAAGGTCATTTTTGTTCTAGAAGAGCTTCAAATGTAGAATTAATAGACCGTATTTAAGAAAGCACTGAGAGCATCTTTTCAATTTATCTCCTTTATAATACATTGGATTTTTATGTAGTGGAGAAAGTAGGGTTTATTAAATATATAACTTCTGTATTTGATTACTTTCCACAGATACAACACACTCAGGGGAAATTGGCACCAAGAAAAAGGTGAAAAGACTGTTAAGCTTTCAGAGATACTTCCATGCATCAAGGCTGCTTCGTGGAATTATACCACAAGCCCCTCTCCACCTGCTGGATGAAGACTATCTTGGACAAGCAAGGGTGAGTCAGTTACCTCTCTGTTGCCTTCCAGCAGGCCAGGGGCCAAGGACATGTGCCTCAGTTGATAACACTGGGGTGGGAGTCCAACTTCTGCCACTGAGACGCTCTGTGATTCTGGCTAGTTAGTCAACACATCTGTACTTTTCCTCAAATATAAAATGAAGTTAACAGAAACACCTACCCATAGGGGTGATGTAGAGATTAAATAAGGTAAAGCATGTTTACATTTTTTTTTATATTCATACCTAGCACGTGCTAGCTGTTTTCATTTTTACAAATGGACAAAACATTTTTGCACAACACTAAGTAAAATTTTGGACTGATTGATTACCAATGAGAGAATCACTAAATCTTTAAACCCATTGAATTATCTCATTGTAATAGCTATACTGAAATTAACCCAATAATTACCAACTTTTTTTTTTAATGTTTATTTTATTTTATTTTTTTGAGAGAGAGAGGAAGAGAGAGCAGGGAAGGGGCAGTGAGAGAGGGAAAGAGAGAATCCCAAGCAGGTTCCACTCTGTCAGCGTGGAGCCTGACGTAGGGCTTCATCTCCCAAACCATGAGACCATGACCTGAGTGGAAATCAGGAGTCTAGTACTTAAACAACTGAGCCACCCAGGCACCCCCAAAAATTGCCAACTCTTAATTCCACTTACATCTATCAATACAATGCATTGTCCTTTGTATTATTTTTGTTTCACTTAAATAATTTTCACTAATATTACAATTATTTTTACAATTCATTGATGAAGGGTTGAAACTAACATGTGACTAAAAAAAAATTCACAAGTTATCCCTAGCCCAAACTGTCAAAAGAGTTTAAATTTCAAGATAAACTGCCATAGTTTATTTTTTTAAATTTTTTAAAATGTTTTATTTATTTCTGAGAGATAGGGAGAGATAGCATGAGCAGGGGAGGGTCAGAGAGAGAGAGAGACACAGAATCTGAAGTAAGCTCCAGGATCTGAACTAGCTGTCAGCACAGAGCCCGCTGCTGGACTCAAACCCACGAACTGCAAGATCATGACCTGAGCTGAAGTTGGACGCTTAACTGACAGAGCCACCCAGGCGCCCCTAAACTGCCATAGTTTAAACAGAAGTCAGAACAAGTGTCTTAGAGTTTATATGCTATGTAACATTATACTATTAAGAAATATATACTATTAATATATAGTATTAATGAATAAGCAGCAAGTAATATCAGAAGAACAAATTCCCAATATTAGGCCTAAAAAGGAGTGGGAGGGGGAATCACTCCTTCTAAGAATCTAAAGCCTGAGGTTGAGTGAATGTTTGTTTGTTTGGCTGGCTGGTTGGTTGGAGAAAGAACAAGACTAAGATCCCAGCACTGGGGCATCAATGAGAGAGCACTCTCATGCCAACCCCCCACCCCTAGCAACCACCCCTCAAGAGAGGTCACACAGAGATGTAGAAAGAACTATGGGTCACAAGTGAAGATATCAGGGATCAAGTCCTAGTCCTGCCTTTAGTATTTGACTTGAGTGAAATGCTCACTCACTCGGGATCTCACAGATAACCTATTTTCTGATAATGTTGTGAAAGTGTTTGTCCATGACAAGACCTTTAGACTTTATTGGAAGATTCTGGGAAGACCTATAATGTCAGGATAAGTAAGCGTGTCCTTATAGGAAGCAGTGTCTTTGAGAGGAGAGGAAGGCCAGTCTCAGAAGCCATAGGGAGGATAGAATCCACAACCACAGCTTTGCATTTGAGAATTAAAGTCCATCTAAGCATGGGTATTTAAAAAAGAAAAAAATAGGATGATAAGCCTACATTGGACAGTAGGTCTTTAAATTATCCAATATTTTCATTTGCCTACTCCAGTTTCCTATCTCTGTGATAGGAAGAGTGTGAAAGAGTGGATCATTTCACATTTAGTCCACATTGAGCAGAATAATGTGCTCAGCAATCATTTTTACTTCATTTTTTTAAAAATTTGGTGTTAACATTCTCCTTAAGTATGTAATAGGTAGAGATGTTACTGAACTGTAATTTTAACAGCAAATTTTATGTGCCTTTATTATGTACAAACACTGTTCTAAGCACTCTACATATACTACCTTATCTAATACACACAAAAATCCTCTGAGGTAGATAATATTATCAGCCATATTTTTCATATAGGAATCTGAGGTACAGACAGGTTAAGGAACTAGTCCAAAATCCCACAGCCAGTAAGAGATACGGCTAACACTGAACTTGCCAGTTTGATTCCAGAGCCTGCTCTTTTTACACTGTTGCTATTAGCACATAGAGTAAGGTTTGTTTTCCCACAAAGCAGATAGCAATGTGCTACTATTTCAACTTTTTAATTGTCTAATTCATTGTCTCAAAGTAAATGTTTAAGTCTCCGTTATGATTCACTGGAGTGCTGTTTCTTTGTTTGCCTTTTCAGCATATGCTCTCCAAAGTGGGAATGTGGGATTTTGACATTTTCTTATTTGATCGCTTGACAAATGGTAAGTCACCCAAAAGAATTCTATTTTCAGACACTGTTACTCTTTTTTCCTTCCTTTTTTCCATTTTCTTAAGTCTGCAGCCACTCTAGAAGGGCCAGGGCAAGGGAAAATTGATTCAGATGAAATGTAAGGACTGAATTTGGCCTTAGAATCTTAAGACCATTTCTTTCTGGCCTTGATGATCCCAAAGGAATTTGGAAACCACAGATTAGATTCTTTCCTTGCAGAATACTTGGGCCACATCCAGACGGAGGAAGTTCATTGTTACTTGGTGAAAACCAGAAACATTAAAGCTCATCTGGTCAGTCTTGACTCTTATAGGGCAGATGTTTGTGCATTTTCATTACATGACCTGAATCTTCCCCAGTGCAGGTATTGTTCAGAGAGGCTCGGCGTCTTTGGAGGAGAACATTAGCTGATGACAGTGTGTAAAAGTGTAGGCCGCAGCTGAAGGGGAAAGTAGACATTCCCCTTGGTTTCACTTTTAAAATCACAGTGCCTATAAAGATTTTGCTTAAGAAAATTAAATTTGATTATACATTCATCTGCCCATTAAACAAATGCTGATAGGCTTAGAAAGCCAGTGAAAGGAATCATATCTGATGCTGACCTCTACGTGCCCCACTGTCTACCAGGCTTGTACTTTACGTCATTACAGATGGTTTTCTCACCATTCTGTTACTTGACAAATAACATACAGTTGAGAGATATAGCCTAAGGCCATGAAGCCGAGCTTCACACTGTGGAAAACTAACTAGCCATATAAGGATGATCCCACAATCTCATATTTCATTTGTTCAAATCAACTGAGAAATGGGTACGAGTAGATGAAATTAACTGTGAACAAAAGGATTTGTTCAATGATATTTGTTCAAAAGAGAGTTAATCATGACTCTCATAGAAATAAGAAATGAGCACATGTCAAGGATTTAACTCAGCTAATTAGAGATCCAGTAAGATGCTACAGCTAGTTCAAAGGAAAATTCAAAGAACAACACGTATATAAACAGTAAGATGCTTAAATGAATTTATAAGTAGCTATAAAACTGGGGAGAGAAAATCAACTGTATTTTCAACTGGGTGATTTCATTTGCATGTATATGGATAAGAATAACTTGCAGTGCTATTAGTTATCTATCTACAGCTTTGAGGGTTGTGAAATGGAAGCTACAAAGACAATGGAAGCTACAGAAGTACAGGATCAGAAGCCCTGGAAGAGTATGCTTAGCCAACACTTAGTTTTCCACTTAAGACCTCCAGTCATCATCTTGGTCCATTTCAAAGTCTTTCATAAATTCTACAATGCTTTTAAAATTCAAAATCATTATTCTTTAACAAATTAACATATTTTTATTCAGGAAAGAAACAATATTTCCTGAATGCTTACAAGTCACTATTACTTCAATTTTGCCTCTCTGCTGGCTTAAGTTGTAAACTATCTCATGGTCAAATCTCATCTTGGTTGACTTTGCATGGAAAGAACAAGCAATGGCCATTAAGCAATGTGGTGACTTTGATACCCTTGTAGCTATAAGAATCAATCGGAAGCAACTTAAGGCACATTGCCAGTGACCATTAAACTATGTCTTTAAAAAATACACATACACACACACACACTCGTGTGTGTGCGTGTGTTCCTGATACAATAGTCAGACTCCTTCTAACTCTTAATGCTTTCATTGTCTTTGGTAGAGAGAGAAGGTCTGAGCTAGCTCGTTTCACTTGTACAGTACAAGAAAACCAAGAATCAAATCATAGTAATAGTATCCTTTATACTTGAAAAAGTTCAAAACTAACAGGAAAAAGGAGACCTATCAGAGGCCTTTCATTATGGAAACTTTGGATTCTTTTCTCAGTCTTGATAGTTTAACGGTGATAAAAATGTGTTAAAATAGGTGACTGTTTTCCTGTAGGAAACAGCCTGGTAACACTGCTGTGCCACCTCTTCAACACCCATGGACTCATTCACCATTTCAAGTTAGATATGGTGACGTTGCACAGGTTTTTAGGTAAGTCTTTATTTCCATATTCTACCTCCTTTCCCCTGAATTATGGCAGTCCATAATATTCTTAAACATAAAGTGGCAAATAGCAGGGTAGATGAAGACCTCAAGTTAATCTTAAATTATCCCATCTTAATTTTAAACTATGGTTTACCCATTTAAATCACTGAAAAAAATATTTACTTAATTAGGTATGCTTATAAGAGATAAAAGCTATATAAAGAAAACAACCAAGAGCATGTAACTGTTAAATAAATTACTGATCTGGTTACCTATCAGCAAAACCCCAGTTAACGTATGCCTCAAATAATCCCAGTCTGGACTTGAGTTGTTGAAAATCTACAATAGGCTTTTTTTTTCTATATATATAATAAGAACTACCATTTCTGTAGTGGCCACTACATGCCAGATGCTCTCAGTATATTATCTCTAACCATTTCAACAACTCAGCAAGCTGGGTGTTGTCACCACCATTTGGCTCATAGTTAGGGAAAAGTAGAAAGAGATTTCATAACTTACTCAAGGTCAACACTTGTCATTGGCAGAACCTCAGTCCAAGCCCAGGTCTGCCTGACTTGAAAGCCCGCCATGTTTCCACTCAACTCCACCCCATCACTCTCTACCAAAAACAGCCCCAGTTCTTGCTGGACTTTGTGCACATGCTTATTTATCTTCCAAATTATCCAAGGCACATTTTTAATCACCATATAACTTCCTGCTGCCACTTAGCATGTTTCTGGCTCCTTGGATGTGCCCTATGGCTATGCTTTGGATTTGGAAGCTTACTTGATGCCTCCAGAGTAAAGTAACAGTGTTATGATAGCAACAGAAGTAATGACAACCAGCCCTATCTGGTGCTTAAATATGCTGGGAACCCTTCTAAGGACTCACATATATTAATACATTTAATCCTTAGAGCAGCCGTTTGAAACTGGAACTATTGTTATCCCCATTTTATAGAGAAGGAAACTGAGGAAACCTATGGTTAAGCAATTTGCTTAATATAAATAATAAGTGATAGAGCCAGAGTTTAAATATAATTGTTTTTAAAAACCTGTAATATAATGACACGTGGCACACAAGAAATATTTGAAAACAGCTACAACATGGCTCAGTTCCAGAAACACAAATGACCTCAGGCTAATTGAATTTAGATTTCTTGAGCAAAGTAATGGCCATGAACTGGCCACATATTTGTCTAAAGAAGAACACAAGATACTTTGGACATGTGTATGCACACAGAGTAACATAAAGAATGCAAAGATTTGATGATAGAAATAACACCAGAATTCAGGGCTAAATTCATAGCATGGGCTGAGAAAATATGGCCACACTTGCAAATCCGGACATTGTATACACACTGAATATATCGCATCCTGAGTATGCTCTGACTACTAACTAATGGTTTCTGGAATTAGCAAAACAGAATGGCCTTGCTTATGTATCTACTTAGTTCCAAGAACACTTTGGTCCTTACATTTGAAAGGCGTAAGAGATGCTCACTTAATCTGAATAAGATAGAAATAAAACTAAGGAGTTCTCCATTGGGTCAGCACAGTATGTTGAATTTCTGTCTGAAGTAGCCTCAGATTTGCTTTTGTCAGTATTTGCTATTCAAGTGATAAACCAATCTTTGGACATTAGGGGTCTGATGCTCCTAGGGCTCTTCAAAAGGAAATCTCTTTTATGACATATTATTCATAAATGGCAGCAAACTTAAATAATTAAACGATAGTGTGAAATAAAGTTGTCCTTTTCCTACATATTTATTTTTCCTATGAATGAAAGCCTTGATGAATGCCAGAGAGGGGTGATTTATGAAGGTGGTGAGGAATCCCAAGGGCCTCGCAAATCCTTTTAGCCTTTCTCCCATCTGCCCTCCCCCTCCTCCTCACTAAAAACAGCCCAGCAGAGCTGCCAAGCTTGCAAACCACGTTTATTTTTAAAGGATCCCTAGGCTGCACATTTTGGAGACACTGATATTTTTAAGCAAAAGGACCCTCAATAGGTCTGAGCTAGTCTGCCCTTCCTGTTTTGGTTTTAGCTGATTGAGCTATCTGTTTGCCCCCTAGTCATGGTTCAAGAAGATTACCACAGCCAAAACCCGTATCACAATGCTGTTCACGCAGCTGATGTCACCCAGGCCATGAACTGCTACCTGAAGGAGCCCAAGGTAAAGCAAGACTCAGCCACCACCTCAGCACCGGAAATGCCAAGTAAACTGCCTACTAAGTCCCAAATCGCCCAACATAACAGAATAACTGTGTACGGATCCTTCACAGTATGAATACAAATTATTTCTATTAAAGTTCCCGTGTCAGTTCTGAAAATTATATGATACACATGAAAGAGGATGTACATTTCCTGAGGGGTTTTCTTCACCATAATTTCTATACTTTTTGAACCTGCATTAGGACAAAAACAACCCTCTCTGTGACAATCTCCATCTTAGATATCTTCAAAAACCTCAAGAAATTAATTGTTTTGCCTCAGCCCTTTGCCACCAAAGGTGCCAGCAGTGAATTTTTCTGGGAAGAGTCTCCCACCTCATGGTTTTTGATCAATGAATAGAGTAAAAACTCCTCAAGAGTTAAGCTCCACTTCCTCCTAAGCCAATGGGGCATCCTGATTCAGGCCCAAGAAAATTTGTGAACTTCAAAGATCCCAAAAAGTGTTCTGATGCAATAAACCAATCCAGTACTAAAAACATAACAATAATACTCATTACTTGAAATGTAAGCATTTCTTAGCCATATAAAACTTAGTTGATATAACATACAGGATGAGTTTTCTTAAGCTTTTTCAAAAATGATATCCTGGTCCCAGTCTCTGTTTAGTTCAACCATTTTTAATATCAATCACTAAATATATAGATGCCAGATGGGCATTCCCAAAAGAAAACTGGGCAGATGCCTCATCCTTATAAAATATCCTATTAAATGTTGTGTTTTTACTCTGTAAGTTGTCTGAAAATTGTAATATATCACACCATAATATATTTAAATTTAGCACTGGATTCCCATTCTCATGCTTGTTTTCTTAGTGAACAACAAAAAAAATGACCGATTCTTACACATTCCCCCACTATTTATTACACATTGAAGACATATGCAAATTTTGTAATGCAGCCCACTCTTGATTTCATATTCAAAGTGACACTGACACAGTGGATGGTTGAAATATAAATGATTTTTTTTAATGTGTCCACTCCTTTTCTTTCACTCACTGCTTTGTCTAGGAGCAAGGCTGACTTCAGGCTCTGCTTTCTCCCTGCTCACCATTGAGCAGTCTTGCCAACAGGCAATGCCACTACACTCACAAAAAGAAACAGATGGGACGCCTGGGTGGCTCAGTCAGCTAAGCATCCAACTCTTGATTTCAGCTCCAGTCATGATCTCACAAGCCCTGCACAGAAAAAAAAAAAAGAATTGCTGTGGGAAGAGGAGGGTAGTTGAATGAATGATCCAGAAAGATTTGACTTGCTTAATTCCTTTCCATGCTATCCTTCCCCTCCTCCCTTGCAGTTCCATGTGACTGTCACCTCACTGACTGCTACAAGAGGGTAAAGGTCAGGATGAAAGCCTGGGAACTACTGTCATAATTCATTCAACTTGATTTAGCCAAAACAAACACTAACCTATGTGCAAAAACATCGATCAGTCTCCCAATTTGATTTTTTTAACAGCTCGCCAGCTTCCTCACACCCCTGGACATCATGCTTGGACTGCTGGCTGCAGCAGCACACGATGTTGACCACCCAGGAGTGAACCAGCCATTTTTGATCAAAACTAACCACCATCTCGCCAATCTATACCAGGTAAGGGAGCCCAACACTGAGGCACAGTTCAGCCAACTGCCTTAGGCCCAGTGCTGGAGCCTGAGTTTCACCTTTGGAGTTAACCTTCTTTCTGGGCCAGCCTCAATGACCACAACCACAGAGCATGGATTTGAAATAGGTCTAGTGATATCCCAAGGTAGATTAAATTGGTTTACAAGGATATCTAAGGAATTCAGTTTTCTCCAAAACAGGTTTAAAATTGTCCATTGTAAAACAGGATGTCTGAGCCTACCCTCTCAGATCTGAGAATATCTGCCCCCCTGGATACTATCTCATAGATAATGGCCAGCTGAAGCCAGTCCTTGTAGAATCTCTATAGAAGATACTTTCCGGCTCCAATCCTAATTCAAATTTACGTCTTTAAGGCATTTCTGAATTTGACTGACCTCTAGGTCAGAGTATGTTATCAAAGACAATAGGCATATTTTGTTGTTCTAAAATAGATCAGCAGTATGAGTAGGTTGACGTGGAGAACTATTATCTCTGATGTTACTTAAGATAGTAAACTTTATATCATATATGAATAACTCCCAGAAATTTTAGTATGGGTCTTTGAAGACCTTTCGTTGTCAGTCACAAAATCATTGCATACAGGGTAGTCATTGATCTCAGTTTTAGTAAATCTATTGACAAAACACAGTGCTGAAAAATTCCTGACAGATTCCCATAAAACACCTGCATTATACAAGATGTTACAGCTTGAGAATGCATTTATTTCCAATATAGCACAACTGGAACATGGAAAAAAAAAAAAAAAAACAGCCTTTCTCCATCCAGTTGGTTAGCTTTTAACGTAGGTAGGAACTGGCATTCTGAAGTTTATGCATCCACATGGAATATATGCCAGCACTGGGCTCTCTTGATTGGCCAGCCAACACCCGGCTCCAGCATAGATGTGGCCACAGAAAGGGGACTGGATGACAGAAGTAAGAAAGACTTTATTGATGAGCTATAAATTAAACAAAGAAAAATAAAAAATAAAGCTGAACTTTGTAAAGCATCTCAGAAGCTAAATTTATTGCTTAGAAAAACATAGACATCAATAATTGGACTGAAAGCCCCCAGATGGATTTTCTATTACTGACAATTCTGGGTTTTTCAAATGTCTTTTATTAGACAAAGGAAATCAGTCAACAAAATTGGATACTTGATCCATTCCCATATAAAGTAAATGTTTACAGAATTCTAGTTTCTCATCATCAAATAAATAATGCCAATGAAGTTTAATAGAGTATCTGCTGTGGGGTATTTGGATGACTCAGTCAGTTAAACTTCTGACCTTTGATTTTGGCCCAGGTCCTGATCTCAAAATTTGTGAGATTGAGCCCCAGGTCAGGTTCTGTACTAACAGCATGGAGCCTGCTTGGGATTCTGTCTCTACCTCCCTGCTCTCACCACTATGTGCTCTCTCTCTCTCTCTCTCTCTCTCTCTCTGTCACACACAATCAATCAGCCAATGAGCGTATCAGCTGCTACTCACTGATTTGTACATAAAATGAGGGTCATAAAACTGTACTTTGACATGTATATATATATAAATATATATACATATATATGTCACATATATAGTATATATAAAATGTAATGAATTCACCTTTAGGCAGGAAGTTAAAAAGAAATATGCTAGATGTTAAAAACAAGAAGGTAGTTGTAGAATTTCATAAGAATGAAGGACTCATTGCTAATTAACAAAACATTATTCTCAAAATAAAAACACTCTATCTTGTTCAGATATTAAAACTGTTCTAAAAATTGGATTTGAAGTGCAGATAACTTTTAATAACTTTCATTTTAATCTCTTTGTTAAAAATAAACATTCCAGTACAACCAAATTCTGCAGCTTTTTATTGCAACATATAGTCTTGTATATTTTTAATCAGCAACTATTTATTACATATGTCATATGGTATACTAAGATCTAGGAGTACAAAGATGGATAAAATATAATCTCTGCCCTCAAACATTTGTTCAAACTCAGATGCTCAAAATGTGCAAAATCTAAGACTTAATCTTAGTTTGAAAGTTTTGGAGAGCTATCTAAAGGTATACATATAAATATAATTTTTTAAATCTTTAAAGAACAAATACCAGTTCTGTTCTTTGTATACAAAATATTACTATAATAAAGTGAGCCATTATATTTTCTAGCAGTAAATTTCTCCATCTGAACTGTCTGGCCTGATCCTTGATAGGAAAGACAGGATCCTTTTGATAATGACTAGAAAGAAGTGGGATATATAGGACTTGAAAACTATGTACAAGATGGTATCTTCATCAGTCTTCCTGCTCAACTGGTGTTAGGCTCTCTTGGAAGCTGGAGGAAGATTCTTGTCTTTGAGTTTTAAAAATAGTGTTAAAGGCAAACCAAGATTGCACAGCATCATAAGCATAATTTCTACTATCTTAGTGCCAACTAGGATAAAAGCTGAAATTTTTATCAGCCAAATTGGGACATAACATGTTAAAAGTAAAAATTGCTAAGAGGACCTGAAAATATTATGAGATTTCAGTTCTGCCCCCCAAATTTCTGATGCCTTTTATATTTGGCTATATACCATTCTTTATTAACTATTAGAGGGAATTTCAAAAAGAGAATGAAAATTCTATGTCTAACACAGTTCAACAAATTATATAACTAACCTTTATTCAATGCTTACTATGGTTCAAAAACTGTGCTAAATGCTTTTTATGTATTATGTTATTTACTCTTCACAATAGTCCTGTTAAGTGGGTACTATTATCTTGCCTATTATTCAGAAAGAGGAGAAGTGATACTTAGGAAATTCAAGTGTTTTTCCTGAAAATAGCTAATTAATGGCAAAGCTGGAATAGGTCTTAAGTCTTCAGAGCCAAAGTGACTAAGCATTATACATACCATCTCTAAAATTCACATTGATCACCTACTTTCTGTGGGTCAGACACTAAGGGCTCTCCAGCGGGTTTCCTCAGCAACAGAGAGGGAGGGGTTAGAGCCAAGTGGACTCAAGTGGGAGGGACTTTGGGAAGCACTCTTCCGGTGGTGTGTAGTGGGATTGGAAGACAGGAAGGGGTTCTGCAGAGAGTTTGGATGGAGGAAGAATGGTAAACTGAGCTTTGGCATGTAACATTTTGAGTAGCAGAGCTGAGAGGGGGCCCCTAGAGGCAGCACAAGCTGGGGTACTTAGCGGATTAAAACCCACAACCCCAACATAACTGAAAACAGACTGTGTCTGTGGCCATGAGCTGAGCATAGTCCTGCCATAAACCATCCCTGCTCTCAAAGCAGTGTCTTGGGCATATTTTCATTAAGTGTATATTCTCTCTTTTAAAGAAACTAGATTAGCTGTACAGAACATGACCTGGGTCAGAAAATCTCGGCTCTGCACCCGGTTGCAGAGCAACTTGGCATAACTTCAAGTTTTCAATTTCAAGAAAAAAGATTGTGTCACATAATATATAAACTGAGCAAGACCATTAACAACACGTGATATTTAAAGTCATTGCAAATGTAGACTTTCAGCCTAACAAGAACCTGAGTTTCAAGAAACTATGTGCAGATTTCCAGCAGATATACCATGCAAGCCTTTCTAGGGTAAGGACCCATAACTTACACTCATGTTTTAAAATGAGAATAGATTCTGAAAATATTGAGAACCATGGTAATGAGTAAAAAATATATGTCTATATGCCATATATTACACAATTTATTATAAATATGTATATACACTATATATATTACACAGTATATATACACACAAAAAAATAATTATACACACACACACACATTTGGTTAATGAGAATCCAGTAGAGAAGTGCCAGGAATTATGTGGGTTGAGAACACCCTGTGCGTGACTTTGCTACAATCTACCCTTACTATAAATGAGATAAAATAGAAGAGAGCTTCCTTTCCTTCCTTTTGTTGGCTGTGCTCTTTTAGTTCTAATAAATAAGATCATTGCATAACTCCCAGCCTGTGCTTCTGCCCCGAGATAAAGAGAGAGCCGGGGCAGTTGGAGTGAAGGCCAGGTCAGAGGGCTCTCTCCCATTGTCTGCTATCTGGACTGGACTCATTGCTGAACTGCCAACCCAAGGTCAACATGAAAGTGATAAAGGCACTTCCACCTGGCACCTCTCTCATCAGACTGGAAGCCATCCAGATGTCCAAGGTGGATTGAGAAAGGAACATGTGAGAGGTTGAACTGAACATTTATCTTCTGTCCCTCCACCCTGCAAATCCCCAGCACATGGGCTCAGCAGTTGAGCACAGTAAGCATTAAATCAGATAAGATATTGGTCATTACAGTTGCAGAAGGAATCACTTTCAGCTCAACTTCAAATTTAATTTCTACATATTAACTAGTGACAAAGCAACCTAATGAATAACATTAAGGAACAATTGTTCCTTATAGCCTAATACAATGTTTCATAATATTACATTCTATACTGTCTTACAGAAGTTTATAATCATTTTTCTTTGTTACTTATCACAAGCACTTAGAGCAGGTCAGCATTTTTAAACACTTTTTATTCTTAATGACTCTGAGCCATAAATATGAAGTTGACAGAGCCTGCCACATGGCCCTATGACCCTTACTCAAATAAGCAACTGCCAAGATTATACAACACCTCACAATTTCTGCAGTTTGAAAGGTGGTTTTGGCAAGTAGTGTGAAAATTGTAAGAAGGAGGCTCAAATTGGATTTTCTGTTTCATAGAGTTTCTGCTATTCACCGTGAAGCAACTGGCATGTTGCCTGTCCATGCCCTTACCTGAACAGGGGCCTGCCCTGCAAGACAGTAATTGACGTCCAGTTTCCTTGGTCTCAGAACACTGTCTTGGGTGGATTCACATTGAACAAGAAAAGGATCTCTTCCAAAAGACAGTAAATATGGCAGGGTTATAGCTTTTCCAAGGGCCAACGTCTTGTTTAGGGTTCAAGGAGCTTCAGTTTCTCTGCAGCCTTCTGGGCTGTGTGCTTGCAGTATTACCAAGGCAACCAC